CATCTCAGTAGTTCATTAGCTGATATTAGTTCGTAAGTAAAAACCTTCTTGAAAGGTGTGCTGAAAGTGAAGGAAAAGTAGCTTCCTTTCAATCGTCGTGTATGATTAATACGTAGATTATTTCAAATTAGGGAACGTTGGGCTGTTACGAAATTATTATTATTTAATATATCCATCATCTTAAATGTAAATAAACATTCAGTTGTAAGTTATTACACTTCAAATATTTATCATACATATAATCTCTTTTCGTAAATCTAACTTTCATCTAGACGTGAATTGAAAAAAGAACTTAATTAAATCTCATAATACTGAAAGTAATTTAGTTGATGTCACTTGTGATTAACATTATGAATGACAGTCATGAAAATAAACATCAGTTACAAAGAATTAGAACGGCAAACTATATATTAAATTTGATGGAACAAATCGACCAACAGTTAGCACTACATGAAATATCGTTATATACCACTAAATGTTTGTTAAGCGTAAAATAATTTATTATTATTTCTGTGGAGTGCCATGCTGTGTACTTAGAATATTTTAAGCGAATGCTTTTAATAACTACACAGAAATAACTAATTTATTGACGGCTGGTTCATAATAAACACTAACTAATTTATACACACCGACTGACCATTTAATAGTAAATCAAATTTAAACAATGCTGACAGAATAAATGAATCGATATACTAAGTGCGTTGAGACACGTACAGCTGGATGGTTACATATACGAATGCAGTTCGGATTTCACATCAAGGTTTTTAAAGATAATGATGTACCTTTTTGAAGAGTCCCAACTACTTTAAAACCGAGATGTACGTTTTCTTTTTTATGACCTTCATCTTATTAACACTTCTTGTTTGTCGGTGTTGAGGAGCAAGATGAAGACTCTAAAGGCTCTAAAGGAGCCGAAGAGATTCCATCTAATGAGAATGTGATAGAGCTTTCTAGAATATCAATGTGGCACACTACGAGTGGACAATAACATAACTTGCCTCCTCGTGGATTGACTGAATTATAATGATGTTATAGCCAACACTAATAACTATAAATACCCATGTTTTTCTGTACATAATCACTTCTCTTCTTCTGCCTTCTGATTTTACGACTGTGGGATTCTACACGTTCGAGTTCTATTAGCTGTATATCATATTCTGCCGTAATGAAGCAGAGAACTTAACAGATAAGGTAGTTTTTGTAAAATCTAAAAGTTTCTCTGTTCACAAATTAACGTTTGACAAAAAATTGTTATGTTGTCAGAATGAAACTCAGTGATCCAATCCCATCACTATTATCTTTTAACTTGTTGGTTAAAACATCCATGTCAAGTTTTAGATATAGAAAACAATTTTAAACCATTATGGAAAAATCATTCAATGTTTCTTGGTGTAAATTTTCCATAACATTAATGCTAATTAATTAATTTCAATTTAGAACTTTCAAATTTACTTAATTACGTTGCTTGCCCTCTTAGAAATTATAATATTTATTCACCTGAGTAGTCTTGTATTATTTTACTGACTGAACATTTTAGCAGATGTGAAGTTACAATGTGAAAAATTTGTTTGTTCTTCTTTTTCTCGTTAAAAAAATAAAGTGAGTTACTTAGTCTTTTCATATGTCGGTAAACCGATAAGAAGTTTTATTTATTTTTGTATATTTTCCAATAACAACACATTTACCTTTAAGTACTTAAAACATATCAACATGTTAGAAACTAAACTAATAACAATAATACATAGAAATATACTGTGTTCCTCTTTTTTTTTTAAAAAAGTTCTACTTCACACAATAGGTCATTTAAAGAATTTTTACTAATCACCATCATATTTGCGGTTTCTCTCTGTCTCCGTCTCTGATAAGATCAATTCTAATCTTAATTTATAGACTACAATTTAAATTAAATGAATAGATCAGTTGATTTATTTGATTATTTGATTACACCTGTTCAGAATGAGTACAATATTCAATGGAAAATAAAAGATGGGTCATACAGCTAACAAGAATGTGTTGATATTTTTTTAACTATGCACACATACACAAAAAGAAATACAATTTGTAGTTGAGGTGATCATAATCTATTATCGATTCTTTTTTGTATCAAATTGAGAAAAATTAGTTTTTCCTTAAATATTTATATAAATTTTTTGTCAATATTTCTATTGACTACCATTTATTGAAATTATTTAACAGGAAGTTCTAGTTTAAAAGATCAAAATGAAAAAAAGTGGCGAATTGTTTAAGATAACGTAAGTTAAAATTTAATACGCTAATACTTTTAAGAATATAAAAGTCTATGTAGAAAATGATGGAAAAGTGAAATTCAATTGTTCAATTTAACAGGTGCCATTTTTTAAATTTCATTGATAAGTTATAAAAAACGAAACTATGACTGACATATGGAAATATAAAAATCTATGTAGCATATAGATTAGTTTTAATGTAGCTGTAAAATGTCTAACTAGAATCATTCAATACATCTCAGTAACTATGTATTCGGTTTATGTACTAAACTATTTTTTAAATAAGGGCTACTGATATTATCGCACTGATCAAATGAAAGTAAATAGCTAACGGGGAACTAAATTACACTGTAGAAAATATTTGCTTTAATCACTGAAATTGTAAACTACTATAGTCAAATTTATTGAACTGAATATTTGATTATAACTAAATGTTGGACAAGATTTCAAAAACGTGTATTTGATTTCATTGAAAGTGTATAAATTATATTGTAATAGACAAATAATTTTCTCATTGAAATCATGAATCGATGAATGTTAGACCACTATTGAAAACCTGGAAGCACTGGACGACCGTTTCATCCTAGTATGGGACTCCTCAGTAGTGCGTATCCATGATTTCTCACGTCCGGTTCGTATCCAGAACCTTCAGTCTCACTCGTGAAGGCTTAACTTACTAGACCACTGAGCCGGCATCCAATAATGTTAATGTCTAATTTCAACTAATCCATGAAATTGAATTACGATTTTCTATTGTCTGAGGTAGATATATATCTCTACATGGCACGGATTAGCTCCGCTTGAACATTAACACCGTTGAATGCTGGCTCAGTGGCCTAGAGGTTAGGCATTCACGCGAGGAATCGTGGATACGCACTGCTGAAGAGTCCCATACTAGAACGAGACGGATGTCTAGTGCTTCCATGTATTAATTCTTATAATCGAAGAGCTGTAAAGAAATTTAAAATCTTTATTTTTCATACTGAGTATTCACTATTTTTGCTTGATTTACCACTAAATTTGTGATGAGAAATGTCCGTTTAAGTACTTAAAATATTTTTCAGTTTCTCATAAAAATTGTAGTGATTCACTAAATAGGTGAACATCATAATGTGCTAGCGAGTCAATATTATTAAAACAGAGACAGATAAAGAAACCAATGAAAATCAAAATTGTTACTTGTTAAATTAATGACTATATTTATAGATATATATTAATGAATGCTAGCACAAATCAACCTTAAGGTCCTACGTTCGACCTCCAATTCGGTAATGAAAACTCCAATTAAAACGAAACATCTATCCAATACTTACTAGTTTTCTATGGTTGTTTAACAAAAGTCAGTATGTAATGTTAAAATTAAACATGAATTATTTCTTTTCGAAAGTCCTACATTCTCACTTCTGGATTTTCTTTTACTATCGTTTTTTTATTTTGATTAGGTAAAATGAGTATTATCAAGACGACTTATCACGTGTTTATGTGTTACAAATAAGTGATAAATTAATGTAATTAATCCATAATAAAAAGGAATTTTTTGAGAAGATATAAAACAACAGTATGAATCACCAATAATAATAATAATAGTGAATGGTACTTAATGTCATGTACATTATTTCTGAGTATTTTACTCAAACTCAATCGATTTGCATTGAATGTCAATGATTGCGGTGGAAAATAATAATTTGTATAAAAAAATACTCTACATTATTAACATAACATAAATTGAATTATTAAAAACTGAGCTTTTTTATGTCAGTTGATTGTAAGAAAACAAAAACGAGAAAAGTATGCTCTTTGTATATTAAGAATTACATTTTTCTGTCGTAATTGATCAATTTGTATTGATGTACTTGCGTATCCTTAATAGATTGCCTTAATAATACCTTTTATTTACTTTTTTTTAGCATACATTAATCTTAGTATAAACAGTAAAACTGCGATGCCAACATATTAAGTTTACGATCCCTAAATAAATGTGATAATTATGTGTTTTGAAAAGATCATGATAATCTATCATCGCTTTGTACGGATATATACAATTGTGTTTGGTTGTGAAGTGCTTAGATAATTAGGGTATTATGATTTTATACTGATAAGTGAATCGTTTAAAATTTGTAAGAATCAATGATCTATGTTCACTGGTAAGTCTAATGAGTATGTTTTTATTTTACTCAGGAACAAGTGTATAATATGAATTAAAATTAAAATAATACTTTGCTGATAGAATGAGAGGATAAGGTTAGTCAGACATATGCAATGAATTTTGTACAACTATATATATATATATAAAGATTATTATCGTCACAGGCTTACATGATTTGAACGAAAACAGTGTAAAGAAAAGAACTGGACAATGTCTTTGTTTCAGCCTGGGACTATTTATAAGTTTCGTATAAAAAGGCCATATAATTTTAGGAATACAATTTATCTATGAATGTAGTTTTCTCCGAACTCAAAAACTGTCGATCTCAAATAAGGTTAATACTTGTGATAGTGACATTATTATTATTATATTTTTCTTGTAAATTCAGTAAAGGCTGATTAATATATGTAGCTCCAAAACACTCTAAGTATGAGTGCTAGTGATATTACTTGGTAACGTAGATCAAAGTCTGTGGTATGAGGTTCCAACTTGCTAGTATAAATCTGAAATCCGAAAGTCATAACAATTAAATCAATACCTTAGCTTTATATAATATAGACTTATGATTAAGGAAAATAGAATAAAAATATAATAATAATATAACATACCAGTATGTGTTCTTTTGTGAATTTTCAAATTCTCACTACGTGCAAATACTTTCATACATCCACTAAATGGACATGGAAATGGTTTTTCACCAGTGTGTACACGAATATGATTAACTAATTTATATTTTGCTTTAAATGGTTTACCATCTCGTATACAATCTTTCCAATAACATGTATGATCTAATTGTTCTGGACCACCAACATGTTCTAAAGTTATATGATTAACTATTTCCGTAACTGAATCAAACACTCTAGAACATGGTTTCGGTATAGAACCAGGTATTGTAGGTACTGGATCAATCCATTGACAATAATATAATTCATTATTGATTAAATTTCTTACTTCACCAGTTGGTATAGATGTTAATGTAGTGGAAGCTATATGTTGATTCATTGATAAACGATTAGATAAAATATGTTGTGGTATATTATATAATTCACATGTTGCAGAAGGTAAACAAGATGATGATGATGTTGATACAGAAGAATAGGTTGGTAATGAAAAATTTGTCTCTGAAATATGACTATTTACATTAACATGAGATGAAATTGGAGTAGACGTTAAATAATTTATTGATTTTATACGTCCTGTTGTTTTATTACATATATTTGAATTATTATTATTGTTATTATTATTATTAGTTCCTAAATGTCTGTCATTTAAATGGCGACAATGTTGTGTTGTATTTGATCCTGAAGGGGATAACATCATTGATGGTTGTGTATAATCAAAAGATGTTGAATGGACAGCTACGGCAGCCGCTGCTGCAGCAGCTGCCATCCCTGTTGAATATGACGATAAAAAATTTGTTGAATATTGAGCACTAATAATTGATTGAGGCCATATGTTTGCCACTGAAGTATCACATGATCCAATCGATTGTGAAGTATCCAATAAATCTTCATTCAATGTCGGTGGGGTAACATAACATTGAGGATATAATAATTTTAAATGATTCGCACTAATTGATTCTTTTGACGAGTTTATTTGTTGTAAACGATTCAATGAATGATATGAATTTGAATTGATAAAATTTTTGTTATTACTTGTCTGATTTGATAAATAAGATAGAGCATAATTTAAATGTCCACGATTATTATAATCGATTGCTGTTTCGGGCATTAAAGTTGAAGAGGATATCGACGTAGATGAGGATGAGGATGATGACAACGAGGATGGTGTTGAAAGTGAGTTAGTTGTATATGGTGCAATAGTTGAAAATAAACTATCAGTATCAGTTACATGTCTAGATTCATTCGATAACTGATAATTTTCTATAACAGGTACATTTTCTAGGTAATTAGACGATGCTGCTCCTGCTCCGGTCTGTGGTGGTGGTGGGGTTGTTGAAGTAATCTGTGACAACTCCCGATGTTGTTGTTGGTGATGATGGTGATGGTGTTGATGAGTTGATTGTGACACCGTATCATTTGGATAATAATGAGAATAAATCAGTGGTGTATTTGATAAATGGGAAGTTTGTGATCTTAAATGGGATTGTGACTGAGTATTTACCCCAGGTGGCAAAACATTGTATAATTGTGTGTGCATCTTGTCGTTTACTGTTTTTTGTTTGTTTTATTGTCGTTGAATATATGTGAAGGGGGAAATCGATATCGAAAAAATTGAATTAGTTATTAACTGTCTGTACGCGTGTTTTGACCTATTTTAGAAAAGATACTCAGTTGGAATTGTATTCAATTAATATTAATCAGTATGAAACATGTTAGGGTCTTTTGGAACCCTACTGAATGATCGACAGGTTGTCTAATATAAAATAGAGGCCATAAATTATTTTAAATTGTTGCCTATTTAATACCACGTGGTTTCTTCGCCGTTGGTAATTTTCTGTATTCAAATGAACGGGAAATATATTCGTATATAATTATAGTTGACAAAGCCTTGACGACAGAAACTCCAGTGATATTATTACTCACCAGGATGTAGTACACTTGTAAAACCACAAGAATATACTTCTTGAAGCCCCCTTACCGCGTAGTCAAGTAGTACACTGTCCGGGAGGTTTTGATTGCACGCTGAGTGATGACACTTTGCAAATGGTCAGCTTTATTCCCTGCTGCGCCTGGTATCAACAGATTTATCAGTGCTGTATTATGAATACAATTTGACTTTAAGTTAACGAATATTTGTTACCTGTCTATCAGGTAGCCATATCTGATTAGGATGCTGTTATGCTATAGGTCAAAAATATTTAACCACCTACTAAAAAAATAACGAATCATTATGATGTCCCAAAATACAGTAGGGTGGTATGTCTGACATGCCACCTACAGTGAATATAATTAAGGGGTAGACAAAAATAGTTAATACGGTGTTTTATATTTGACTGTTTTAGTATGATAATAATGTTGTAATCTAGCCGTAAAATACTATGAAATGATTGGCAGGAATAATGTGGATTAATAATAGAACGTAAATATGAAATCAAAAATAAAGGTAAGAAAGCCATAAATTTATTTGATCATGTGATTGGTGAACCAAATTCATTATGCTATTGGTGATTTTACATTAGTAAAAATTTGATTCGTTAAAATATTAATTACCCTAAAATGATGTTGGTTTAATTATGATAAAGTAGGTAGAAAATTAATTATTTTGTCTCATATATTGATTCTACCCTCTTAATTATGTAAAAGATTATTTTTCTCATATGTACTTGTATTTGACAATGTACTTGAAATTTCCAAAATAACAGTAATAAAGAATGTTGTGACAATCATATTTGATATCATAGGACAGACTTAAGCATAATGTATTTTTAATTATTCACATTAAATTGCTAATGTTATTTAAATTTGAATCTGATGCCCATAGAATTATGAAAAGTATTGTTTAATTGACGAGATTAACTTATTTAAATTTAACTCATTACTTTATATATCTTATTTAAATGGTAATTATTTATGAAGTTTCTGTAGTGGGTCTTTCTCTTATTCGCAGTTATTTTCGTCAAGTTTCAACATATATTCGTATTTCAATAGTTAAGATCATGAGTCAATTAAAGCATGACTACCATTAAAAAATCTGAAAGGACTGGACGGCCGTTTCGTCCTATTGTGGGACTTTTCAACAGTGCGCATACACGTCGAACCCAGGACCTACTGGTCTTATAGTTAAGTGCTACAATGAACTGTAATTACATTAAAAAAAATTGATTCCTTATTGTATTTATAAACTTTCATTTCAAGTATTCAGATTTTGCTTGAATTATGAACTTTTTCCAAAAAATAAAATTGGATTAGTTTCTTTGGTTTTGAAATATTGAACACATCAATCGGTGTTCAAAAATCAATAAATTATATAAAAATAGCCATTCTATTTAATTAAGATCACTTTTTAAATGAAATACTTTTGAGTGAAATTAAGAAATAGCCATTATTTATAGTGTAAATCATGGGTGTTGTCTCAATTGAATATCATATGTATTATGTGTATATAATATCAGCTGGTATCCATTAATTACGAAAATATTAGTAGGAGTGTGGTGAAATGAGAGAAAACATAATGACAAGCTGATATGATTTGAAAATAATTTATATGGTCGAAATTGATCGATAGTCAGTCTTGAAATGAAGTTCCTGAAGTGTTAAATACAATTATATTTATCGTTAGATCAGAGTATGTGCTGTACAATTTTATTGAGCTTCTCCTGTCATGGATGACTTCCTAAAGATCCCGTTGAAATGTCCTTACTAATTATGGCACAATGGTGTTGGTAGACATGAAGGCCTTGATTTCGATTCATGTGCGAAGTATTATACTTGAAGAAAAGCACTTATGTCCACTGTTTCCTGATGCAGGAAATCCTGGTTGATAAATTTTCATGATACTTGGGACTTGTCAGAATGGAATGCCTACAACATTGAGGCACCTAACACTAGAATTTCAACCCGCACTATCCACCTTCACAGTTGTTGCAATTTCGACGTTGCCATCGAGCTATTCAAGCGGTTACTGACCTGTAGTGCTGAGATAATTACAAATTATAGACCGAAGTAGTGATTACTTCGAACCACATAACATCTGAACTCAGTACATTTGGTTTCGAATCATTCAAGTTAGTAGCCACATTACAATGTGATTGATGGAATATGAAATGCACTGAAAACCGGGCAAACATGAAATCGATTACTAATCAATGATCAATCAGCTGTAACCATTTCTTAAGTTCACTCTAGTTAGCATTTTGTAATGTAAAAAAATCCGTGTGTATGTTTAATTCACCACAGTTTTAAAAAAGTTTATTAATAATCTAATTTTTGCGAAAAAAAAACCAGAAAATAATCACAGTAGTGTCAAAAGCGAATGAAATTACAATAGTAATTTAGATGTTAAAAGAAATAACTTGAATAAAACAAGATCATATGATACTGTGTATTGTTTGTTCTTTCTCTGTCGATAGACATAGTTATGCCAGGTGACTATTATTGCTTCGTTTTGACTAGGGGGGGAAGCGTCATTTATTACACTTCATTAACTTATCTATCTTTTCGCACAAGTCATAATTTGATGATTAAAATCATGTTAACGATTTAATTTAATTTTCTATTTTGTTTTTGTTTTCTCGCTCAAACACTCAAAATTCATCTGATTAAAATATTATTGACTGATTGACTGGAATCCTAAAAATAATCGTACTAACATTAGCTATTTATAATCAGATCAAAGTTAAGTATTCATACCAGATGTGTATTTAACTTTTCAAGGAGATGTTAATTCCCAAGAAATCAAAGAACAAATAAAACAAATGTATTATGTAATTCTACATGAATTTATTTATTCCATATATAAATGTGACAAAGTTTTTAGGGAGATAGAAAATGGAAAATAAGTTAAGTGTACATCTATTGAAGTATCATGTTGGTCAACCGATAAATGTCAATCATTAAAATGTTTTTTCCCCTCTCATAAAATCAGTACAAATAGAATGGTAAAATAGATTGTATGATTAACATAATTTTGAATTTTTGATACAAATGTGATGTTTGTTAAAATATCTTAACATTACATAACAGGAAATCATTAAAACTACAAGTCAACTGTACATATACAATTGAAACGAATAATAATTCAGGATACGTAAAGAGAAATCATTAAAACGGAATAAATATTCTTGTTTAATGTTCAGTTTGTTAGGTTGAACACAAATGACTGGCACTACAGAAATGATATCATCATTAGGTGTTTGAATTATCCGGAACTGCTTTGATTTAGCCATTTTGCTGCAAGTTATATAGAACAGATGTATTGCTGGTAGCAATTAAATCCAGACTGCACATTTCGTTCTGTTTGGAACTCGTTAGGTGAATGGGCTTGAGTCTCAATACAGATGTTAGTGATAGGTTTCAACCGCAGTATATTTAGTATCAAACACTCGAAGATTTATCCATTGAGCTACCGAGTTCAAATAATCACTAATTTCTTCAGCTATACCGGGGCAAAAAGTACAGGATTTAAATATGCTGAAAGAGCTTGTTCAAAATTCAGTGAATAATATCAACCCAGTGCCTATCTGGACATAAAAACTTAGTAGACAGGGTATTTGGAGTTTAAATTGAAGAGTGCTGGATTCGAGGTGTAGTGTGGACATTAACATTGGAAGGCATATATGTCCATGTAACAAGCCATAAACGGGAAGTGATGTGTATACTGAACTCCATTTCTAGCTACAATTCATCTATCCTTTAAACGGAAATTACAATACTGGTGAATGACTTTTCGATGTGTCATAACTTATTCTATTTTCAGTATATATCGACGACTCCACTATGAAGATTTATACTGAACATTACTTGTATTAGCTAGGAAATTCATAACTAACAATAACTGACATTCGGCATTTCACGGATTATAGTAACACTGTAATCTTTGAAAAAAATTTCAAACATCGTTTACCACACTATTAAATCTGATGGAGAAATAATCTACATCGTTGTTCAGTAAATAATAAGTTAAAGTTATTACCATTCTCTTCTGGTTTCAAAACTGAAAGTAAACTATTTTCACCAAACAACATTTAACTGTGAACCAATTGATTTTCTGAATATAATTCATCTATGGACAAGTGTTCTGTCGGGTTGTCAAACTTCACAGCAATGGTGTACACCCACGAAATTACCAGAATCATTTCTTGTATTAGGTGCATTACATTTAGATCATTGAGTTAGTACCCATTGGTTTACAAAGATGGTTTCATTAATCAGTTTAAAAATAGCAGCACAGTAAAAAACGCGGTGTCGATATCAGGTCAGTTTGCAATTATATCTAGAAAAATAAGTATTTTGTTGAATTAAGCATTAGTTTTACATCAACGTAATGGTGTAATAAAATTAATGGTAGTCAAAAAAGAAATTAATTTACTAAATCTGTCCTCTGAACCTCAACTGGATAAGTATTGAGGTTACACACTCATGCTTGATAACATGGTCAATAGAAAATGATTCTTTGTTAAAATAAAAGGTGTATATTTGAATGCAAATTATTTTAAACTGTTCTCTCAATGAATTCACTTGGTGTTATTTTACTTGTATGTTCCCATTGTTATTTAGGCCTGCAATTGATCAGTCTTATCAGGACTCAGTA